TTATTTTTTTTTTCTTTTCATTTTTTATTTTTTTTTAATTGTATTATTTTTTATTTTAAATCCCCACTGGCAGCCCTTTGGTAAACCACTGATAATTCATGACACCAACCATAAGAGCCAGATACATAGGCTAACCCTCTTTTTTCGGGAAAGCCAGTTTCTCTTATATTCTTACTCTTCAGCTTTTTTATCTGTAAACCAGTATCATTAAAACTATGCTAAGCAGGGAGCGCAAGCTTACCTTAATATGGTTTATCGCAAATCTTTTTGGTACGAAAATTTTTTATTGAACCTTTGTAATGTCAACCTTCCGAAGTTTTAAACTGCCAGGAAGTTTCGCCTTATTTAAACCTTGAAACCTTTGTGATGTCAACCTTCCAAAGTTTTAAACTGCCAGGAAGTTTTGCTTTATTTCAACCTTTGTAATGTCAGCCTTCCGAAATTTTAAACTGCCAGGAAGTTTCGCCTAGAAATACAACTTAAGGAGGAAAATAGTAAAACCTATTTTTCGTAGAAGAAAAATGTATTTTATTACGAAAAAAGTTTTTTTGAAAAAAATATTTAATAAAAAGGAGTTGAAGGTTTGAAGGTTTAATAAAAAGAAGTTTGAAGGGTATATATATACTTGTAAAAACCTCACGGTGACTAATAATTAGATCGATAGGCGGATAGGGATAAATCAAATTGATTACATAATATTTCATTTTCATCACTTTCTAATTCCGATTTTTGACTAATTTATACTACAGTAATTTTTTTTTATCGATTAAATCAAATCCCGACAAATGATTCAACACATAACATTACTCATAATACATTCGATTGTCTTCACCACCGCAGCCCGTAAAAAAAACTATTGGAAAGACAAAATTGTATTACGCAAGCTCAATATCAACCGGCAATTGTTTGGCAATATGAGTGATTTTTCATGGTTATGACTAATAGATGGCCTAAATAACGTCATTTTGATTTTAAAAGCAAGTGCTGCGGTTCGTTGAGCAGTAGTAATCAAAGATTAACTCAATTATTTATATTATTAAAGTACAAATAAATACAGTTTATATAAGTATTATTTATTTCATGGGGAGTTGAGTAATCTCCTGGAGCGTGTCACTCATTAAATATTAACTATTTAACTATTTTAAACTAAAATTAGTAATTTCCCGGCTATCTATATGAGACCGGGAAATAACTAAACGAAGATTTCCGGTCATTTATAAACTCAGCTAATCACTCGCAATATTTAAAAATTAGTATGAAGGTGACACTTAGTGCGACAGGGAATTCCTTTCATAGTAATAATTTTTTGTATAATCTATCAAATCATGAGTTTTCACTAATGAAAAATTGGAGATCTGACTTTTATTCGGAGTTCCAAAGATACAATTCCATTTCATAATAGTGGCCAATTGAATTGGGTTAGTGATTTCTCCTGTTGTTTTAAACTCAAATTCTGGTATGTCTATAAAATCATATACACTATTTTGATGTTTAAGTGACCACAACGCTCCGTAAAATTTGCATAGTATTTCATGAAAAACCATCAGATAATAAAAATAATTGCGAAAGTAATGTGCCGATACAAAAGTTCCTGTAATAAGATGGGATTGTCATCGTACGTTATACTTCAAGATGTCCAATAGCAAATGACTAAATTCTGGTAAAAGAACTCCATTAACAATATCATCACATGAATGAGAAGGTATTTTTGTTCAAAAGGTATCGTATAATTTATTGGATGAAGTGTTATCATTATTTTAAATTTGATTACAAAAAGTTGTCATTTTAATTATGTACGCAGTTCATTAGTAAAATTGGTATTTTGGGTATACTGCATGCTGCAATTACTGCATCCTCGTCATTATGTTAAAAAAATTTGATGGCTTGGATATGTAATTTCCTTTTTAATACACAATGAGTGATAATATCGTAAATTACATAGAATTATTTGAAGTATTAAAAAATTTTAAATTTTATTTTATTGTATGTAAACACGGATATTAAATAGGTAGAGTTCAATACTCAAATTTATAAGTTGATAATATATAATACAATTATAGCTAAACTGTCAATTAAATTTACTGCTAACATTGATACGGCAACTCAGGGTTAATATTTCGTCTTTTTTCCTTGATATTTTGTTTAACAATTAATAGTGAAATTAATCGAAAGCAACTAACATAATTCATAATACAGCAGGTGTATAATGACAAGAAATCCATACTGAACTAAAGTATATAGAAGATATAGTTCAGTTTATATAAATTCTCCAATGAATTTATTAGTAATTTAAATGCGTAACGAATTATTCCATATAATTACACTAAGATTTTTTTATATTCCTAAGGTAATACGGATATTAACAATTTTATATTTAAAATAAGAATTTTTTTTTCCTAAATGTATTCTAAAGGAAAATGGTGTACTGTGTTTACTGTTTCTTTAAAGTTTATATATTTCGAATACAATTATATTTTTAGGCTATGTCTTACGTTGATATTAATAATATTCTTTACCAATTCAAATACGGTTGCTAGTACTGGAATCCAAATACACTGATTTTATTTAAAATGTCAATCAATCCACTATTTCTTGGTGAAATAGATGATGAGCGAGGAGATATTAATGATTTGGAATATGTAGATAATATATCTGGAATAAGCATCTATACATCCATGAATGAAAAAACCCCAATGGGATAAAATACTATTAGTAATCCTGCGCGTAAACATCACTGCAGAAGATATCTATCCTAACAAGAGAGACCAATCTGAATAGGAAATATCAACAACTTCAAAATTAACTGCAAGACCAAGTTCATCAATTGTTGCGCAGTCTTCTCAAACTCAATTATATTCATCATATATATTTTATATTTTTGCAAAGAATTAAACCTTCTTTAATGAAAGAGTTGTTGGATCCTGGAATTCGCGATCCTAAAGAAAGTCTTAATTGGGATGAATATTCTATTGATATTGAATTTCTTGAACTTATTGGACAAGGAAGAATAGTGGGATATCTTAATTGGTAAATCTAAAAAATTAAAATTTTTAATTATATATCTCTAGGAAATCAGGAAGTAGGTCAAGGCATCTCCTTGAGAAACTTCAAAATGGTATTTAATTATATTATTTTTTTTTTTTTGAAAATTTCGAGAACTCAATATTTTAATTATATAATAAACACTTATTTTATTTAAAAAAAATATTCGGTTTGAACTAGAAAATGAAAATAAGGATTATAAAGCTCTTCAAAAGTTCAATTCCACAAGACGTACTAAGCATCTGTTAGAGTTATTAATAATATAACCGATAATTAATTTTCCTTGTAATTTTTTTTTGCATTAATTTTGGTATAGTTTATAGCTGTAGCTTATTACATTTTACAATATACGGTTCGTTATTTATATAGTACTGTAATATAGAGAATTTTGAGATTATTTTTTTAGAAAAAATGCATTAAACTTTTAATTGAATAGATCATGCAGTAAAAGCTTACATATTTCTGGTGAATAATGCATGAATCATCCAATCAAATTTAATTTAGTTCAAATATGAGGCAATAATAAGACAAGCCGGATTAACTAAATTCAAAGTAGTACATATCATCAATTTTTTTTTATAAAATTCGCGTATGATAATAAATAAAGGTGCCACATTTAAATCACGTGTGGAGTGAGTGAGTTTGTTACACTATAAAAAACGCCCACATTCCATGATTTCACAGATTAGATTAAAGAGTCATGAATCGTAGGAAAAAAAAAGGGATTTCTTTAACCTATTTGATAATTCTTGTGAGGTAAAAATAAATTTTTCGGTAACAGAATAACAAATTTTATTTAATTATTTATTTCATAATTTGAAATATAAATGTTTTGAATAGAGAGAATTGGGACTGATATATCTACCAATTTTATGGAATTCAAATTAAACATAGTAAATATTAATGATTGAAAATTTTATATAGTAAATTCATATGACTAAGAGAAATGTCGTATTCGATGCCGTCAGAAGATCAAATTATTCTTGATATATCACACCTAGATTCCAATGATACTACCGGTGATATACGCAAGGATGCGAGTAAGTTAAATTTTCTGAAGATATTTAAATATAAATAAAGTTTTATTATTCACCTGAATAATATTCTTTGTATTTTAGGTAAAACTGCTCTTTTAACAACTCAACTTTTAGTCGCGATACCTATCGGTACAATATGTTTTTTGCTTTTTTGTTTTCTTCGAGCTAGATGGAATGTTATGTATTCTCCACGAAGTAGGTTGAATAGGTATGTAAAAAGTCAACTTTCTCCTTTCAGTTAATTCAATTAATTATTATTAATTATGCTTATTATAGACTAGCACCGAAGCCTTTACCAAACACTTTCTTTGGATGGATAATGCCTTTATTAAGAATCCCCCAATCTGAAGTTTTAGATAGTGTGGGATTGGATGCTACTGTGGTATGTTATGTGTCAATTGAAATCAACATTTAGAAATTTATTACTAACTAATTTATTTAATATCTTTTGCCTAGCTTCTAGCATTCTTTAAAATGTCTTACAAACTTTTTGCATTCTGTGGATTTTTCGCATTAGTTATATTATCTCCGATAAAGGTTTATAACTTCATACCAGGAATGGGCAAAGTCGATGATAACAATGCACTTGACGATGGTCCATTCGAACCGACCGATCCCAACGATCCAAATTATCCTCATGAATCTTCAGAAATACTAATATCATACGTGGTTTTTACCTGGGTATTTTCTTGTGCAACATATTATTTCGCATTTTATAATTATAGAGAATTTTCAGAAGTACGCCACAAATATTATCTTAAAGGGATGGATACTGTTACTGCAAGATCTGTAATGGTTACGATTGTTCCAAAGGATTTGCAAGCAGATCATAAGTTAGAAGATTTTTATGCTTCTTTAGATTTGGGTCAGGTTGAAAATGCTACAGTATATCGACAAGTTCGAAAACTTAGGCATGCGATCGAGAAACGCGCACAATATTTAAGAAAGTTGGAAGCAGCTTATGTTGAATATTTGGGGAATCCTTGTGATGATCCAAATTATGATCCCAAGAAAGCAACCAAAACGTTTGAAGAAGCTTTAAACAATGACCCTTCTACTGCAAACGCTGTAACTGCAGAAGTTCTTAAGGGTGTTAAAGCAAAAAGACCTACAATAAGGTCAGGTTTTCTTGGATTATTTGGCAAAAAAATCGACAAAATTGAATATTATACCGATCAATTTATTTATTATGACCAACTAGTGAGACGAGGTAGAAATGGTGCCTATGTCTCTACTTCAACTGGTTTTGTGACTTTCAAGGATATAACTAGCGCGGTAAAAGAAATTATTAGAGACAAATATGTATGTCCAAATAACTTTTATTTATCTTTTTACATTTCGTTTTATAGCAATTAGCGGCACAAGTACTTTTACATCCAGAACCTTTCCAATGTAGTACCGAACTCGCCCCAGAACCTCGTGATGTGTAAGTTGCAATTAATTAATTAGTATTCTTTAGAAAAAATTTTTTTTTTTTGATTTTATATTGACATAAATAATTCTATTTATCATAAAAGATTCTGGCAAAAACTAAGCATTCGCAAACGAGAGTTGATAATTCGTGACGTGTTAGTCAATTGCTTAGTTACCATAATTGTATTTTCCTGGACTGTACCTTCTTCTGCAGTTGCTACCCTTTTGAGTTTAAATTCATTGAAAAAAATCTTCCCATGGTTAGAAAAATTGGCAGAATCGAATGAAATTTTGAAAAGTTTTATCCAAGGTACTTTGCCTACTCTTGCAGTTGTCACACTTAACGCGATAATTCCACAGGTTATGCAATGTAAGTAGTTTATTAAACTTTAATATATAAATTGCTATTTTTGTTTTTTACAAATAACTAACTTTATAATCATCATTCAGTTCTTTCTAAAATTCAGGGACTCAAATCTCGTAGTGCAATTGAATCTTCAACATTCTCCAAGTATGTAGTTTAACTTTTAAAGCTTTAAAAATATTATTTGTCTCTATCTATTAAACCAGTATTAACTCATTATGGTTATTATTTGACTAGATATTTCTTTTTTTTGCTGATAACTGTTTTCCTTATCTTCACCGTTGTTGGTACTTGGCTTAGTGCAATTGAAGATATAGCACAAAATCCAACAAAGATTACTATTACTTTAGCGAAAAATTTACCCAGAGTAAATATAGTTGCATTTTCTTTCTTTCTTTCTTTCTTTTTTAAGAATTATATGCTTAAATATCTAAATTTAGGTGGCCCCATTCTTTATAAATTATGTTGTTCTCCAAGGAATTGCTTTATACCCATCTCGTATATTAATGATTAAAGATATTGCAATGGCTTGTTTATTACGCGTTGTTGTTGCAAATACTCCCAGAGATTTTGCTGAAAGCAGTACTCCACAACTTATATATTATGGACAAGAGCTGCCACCCACTGTATTCATTTTCGTTCTTGTTCTCGTATACTCTTCTATTATGCCGATCATTCTCCTTTTTGGCACAATTTACTTCTTCTTTGGCTATATATGTTTTAAATACTTGCTATTATTTGGTATGTCAATTTTTTTAAATTATGTAATTTTATTATTTTTTTTTTTTTTGGTTTTTTCTTTTTAACCCTTTTTTTTTAGTATATTTCCATCCTTACGAATCCGCTGGTAATTCATGGCCTAAAATATTTCGAGGAATTATTATTGGCTTATATATTTTTCAACTATTAATGATTGGATATATGTCGTTAAGAAAGTCATTTTATTTATCTGCATCTTTAGTGCCTCTTTTAGTTATTACAGCTATTTACTACTATTATGTGAAACAAGCATATGACAGAAGTTCAGAATTTGTACCATTAAGCGTTTTACGCGAGAACCAAAAGAAATCGCCTACTAATACATCTGATGTTAATATTAGACAAACGTCACAGAAATCAACAGTGACAAATGATACTTTGGGAGAAACCACAGCTGATACTTCATCAACTAATAATGAGAGTAATAAAAAAGCACAAGGACAATCTCAAAGAGACTTATTAGATGACGATTTTTATCAAGCAGCTCCTGATCTTTATACAAATTATACTCAACCTCCAATGACATTATATGATGGTATACTTAATACGGGAATGAGAGATTATGCACCTCCGGAACTAAAGGGAAGTTTACCATGGTTATGGCTCCCAGTTAAAAGAACAAAACAAGAAATTAAAAACGGAGGATTTATTAGAAAATTATTAGGAATGAATGAAATAACTTCACGACCAATTTCATCCTCACAATCAGAATCGGTAACTGGTTCTACAACTGATTCAAATAAAAAAGTGGCAGCGGTTAAAACATTACAATTTGTAGAGGATGGATCATCTAGCTCTTCCTCAGGACAAAGTACAAATTATGGAGCAGTTGATACTAGTGTGCCAGTTTCTGAACAAGAAGTAGTAGGACCTGAGCAAGTTGTTGTAACAAATGAAGAGCAAAGTACATCATCTAAAAAACTTTCGAAGGCCCAAAAAAGAAGGTCTATGGCTGATATGTTAGGAGAATTTGCAGGAAGCAATTTTTCTTAATTATCTTAATTATTTAATCAAATTTTTTTTTAAAAAAAATTTATTTATTATTTATTTATTTATCTTTGCTGCATTTTTGGGTTTGTGTATCATATTATAATAAATAATTGTTTACGTATATTTTTGATCCCACATCTAATACTGTAATACTTACTTTTTACTGTTTTTGAAGTTTTTGAACTTTTTCAACACGCATAGTATAATTTTAGTTAATTGAATATTAAAAAAAAAGAAAGAAATATTCTACTTTATTCTTTATAAAAGCAATAAATAAAAACTGGGTATAGGTAATAAAACCATAATGAGTAAGTCCAACTAGATAGCCAAACTGTAATCAATTACCCATTACAAATAAGTCATTAATTTACAAAGTGTATGATTCTTACCAAAACATCTAGGCAACAGTTGAAGATAATTTTGCTCTATGAATGCTTCTCTCTTATGATAAAGAAGGAACTCACATTATGAAATTTAAAAAATTTAAACTCTTTAAAGGTCATCAAGATTGAACGTGTATTATTACAAGGATAGTGGGCTCTTGTATGCCCGTCCCTTACTATTAATTTAGTAATTATCGGATAAATTAATTTGTTCAATTTCTGTTAATCTAATATTTTTTATTTTTTTTATGTCTACCACGTATGTACAAAATTCCTTCTATTTTTTTTTCTCCTACTAAATACTATAAATATAATTCTTTTCATATATATATATATATATATATTATTTGATTGTTCAATTATTATTTACACAATTTAAGAGATATATTAAATAAAAATGTTTTTTTTTACGCTTCATGTTCGATAATTTCTTGATCTTCCCAATCACGTTTTCCGCTCATGGAAATAACTTTGGCCTTTAATAAATCTTTTACCCATTGTATTTGTCTCATCGTTCTACGATTATGTATCGTATTAATCCTCTTTTCAGGTTCATAACTTTCACCATATAAGGATCTATTTCTATATACATCAGAATCTCGTCTAACATATTCACGCGATACTTTTCGCTGTTCTTCGGTATCTTCCAAAGGATTTTGGCATAAAATACTTGCATCAGCTCCTGTTAAACTACGCATTACATCTTTTTCATGTGATAATGATAATCCTGGTCTGAAATATACTTTAAAATTTAAAAATCCTTTAATTTCATTAGAATTCGAATTTGCCGTTGAATTGTCTTTTGGTACATCGGAAGTAATATTTTCTCTTGCAGTAGATGATTCTTGTGGAACATTAGTAACTCCTTCTGAAGATGCCGGGATGCTAGTTGTTGATTTTTCTGTCAAAGAATTAGAAGCAGGAATTTTTTCTGTTGAAGTATTAAGAACTGATTTTTCTGAAGAAACCTCTGTCGATTCTAATGGCAATTTATTAGAGGACTTATTAATAAGATCTTCATTTTTATTATCTTCTGAAACAGATTCTGTATTATTAGCATCCTTTTGTCCAATTTTTTCATCACTTTGTGACGACTCTCCAACTTCCTCAGGCTGGGTTATATCTGTTGAACCGACAGTTGAATGATCATTTTCGATTACTTTTTCTGACGCCTTCTCTTTAGTAATCAAGCTAGATTCACCAATCATTTGAGAACCATCCTCTCGTTGAGAAGAATCACAAGGTTCAGGTGATTCACATCTAACCATATTCATATTATCAAAATTATTCGATTCTTGAGAAGCGTCTGCATCATCTGTATCTGAAGGAGGGAAACATTTCGGTAAAATTTCAAATATAGGAATTTCCACTTCAGTCTCACAACTATCTTTAATATTTGTTAACCAATATTCTGCCATGCCAACAGTTTGATAAATCCCAAATAACCCTTTACGTTTCACTGTAATTATTAGAGAAGTTCTATATCGACGAAATACTGCAAATTCCATACGATTTTTTGTATCATTTTTTGATCGTTGTTCAAACCAACTTGGTGGATGTAAATTTGACACGTTAGTTTCTTGTTCAATTTCCGTATTTCTTATAGTTAACGTTAAGTACACACTTCGATCTAATGAATTAAATGTGAATAAATGTTTCTTTATAAAGTTTAACGGCAAAATATGAAATTCAACTTACTTGCATGGTCATTATTTAATTCTTTAGCAATAATAGAATGAACAAACAGCGTTCCAACATCATATCCTTTCTCTTCAGGTGGTAATATCATGCTAATTGTTCTGAAGAGGAAACTTAATCGAACTTTTCCACAACCAACTCCATAACGCAATGGATACCATTTATTTGATTCTTTCTGTTAAATTTAATTTAAAATCTATATTAATAAATAAAGAAAAAAATTGTTCTACATTCAAATAAAATTCCGCACGTTCATCACCTTTTCTTTTTGTCCAAATAATTCTTTCAGAGGTAATGTGACCATTCCAATTACTGGATCATACTCAAGATCTTTGTGATCTTTAACCACTACTCTTACTACGGCAGTCCTCCAATCCCTCACGAATTGTTCTGTTGATGCATTCCAGAATGGAGCAATACTTATATAGAAAAAAAAATATAAATTAAGGAAATAAGTAAAAGAACAAATAAAACAATTATGAATGTCGAATATAAATGAAGTTTAATTTACTTGTTTAATTTTGCTCTCGTGCGGAATACTATCATAACATAAATAATATATATAAGTTATAGTTATTATTTCGATAAACGAAAAAGAATACATAAAAATAATAAATACCTCTACTGTCATTAAGGTAAACAACAGCGTATGGATTAGGATAAGACGGATTATAATGATTATCTGACATTACAATTGACGATTCTTCAATATAAGGCGCAGTTGTTATCTGTAAATTCATTGCTTGGTGTATTTTCAACCCAAAGATTCCAGCTATAAAAATAAATTAAATTAAAATTTTTTATCATTAATAAGATAATAAACCTAATTATACAGTATAAAGTAATTTTCTTACATGTCTGTTCAAGTTTCGGTTCATCTTGAATTGGTAGTTTTGGATAATATTCAAGACGGTAACGAAGTTCGCCACGTGTATTTTTGTCATTTGGCTTAAGTTTAATCTCTTCCCAACTAGAATTTTTTTTTTTTTTGTAAATAAATATTTATTTCTTAAAGAATATTTTTTTTTTTTCTTTTAAAATTCATACCCGTCATGAATTAATGTCTCCTCATCTCCATTGCCGATCGCATCTTTAATATCAATCCATACTGATCCAATATGATCATCAGCTGTGAACCTATCCCAGTCCATAACACTAAGTTTAAATTTAATATGTTGATCTACAATATCGAGTTCCGGTATTTTATGGAAAAAAGTTTCTTTCCACACCGGCTTTGCGCAATCCTCAATTACACGTGTAGTAGAATGTGTATTCATATAAGGTGAAGGTTCCAATGATGATATTACATACGGATCATTATCACCTTAAATAAATATATTAAACAAATTAGCCAAATAAGTTTTATAAAAAAAAGGAAAGGAAAAATAAATCGATTTTTATTACCAGATACATCAACATGGGTCAGATTTCTTGCCTCGATTATGTCGACTCTCATTATTCCAATTGTTTGTGTATCTATATTATTATATAGAAGTTAAGTACTACTTATTTAAAAAATGAATTGAAGAAATTATGTTTTATAATAATTTACCATGTAGAAGATCATCCCCTGTAAGCAATTGTCCCAAATCCAATTCAATAAAATTAGGAGCTGTGAATTGTTCCATTACATATTTAACTGCAGTGTGTATGAAGTCTTTTATAATAGGAAACTTTATTTTTGAAAATAAAAGTAATAAAAATGAAAATTTTTTTCTTCCTTAGTATTAAAAACACATTATTTCTAACTTCAAATACCTGTGCGATATTCATAGGTACTAATGGCATAATGCTTATATCAAATAATGGAGGGGTAAGAAAACTAAATTTTCCTGTGGAAATAAATGGTGAAGATCCGGTAATTTTGATTTCAAAATGAATTGAAGCTTTAAATCCTATTAATTCGACTTTTAAAGGAACCATTGCAGAAATTCCCGTTTTAATCCATGCTAAAACATGCGGTGGAGCATCGTTACGAGTCATGGTAGATGAACGAGCGCGAAAAGAAAATGTAGCTTCCCCAACCTAAAATATAGGATAATCATTAATTATTGTTTTCCTTAAATAAATTAAATCATTAAATTCATAAAATGTGACTTACTACTACATCTTCATCATCCTGGTTTTCTCGTCGTGGCAGAATTTTAATACTTTTTAAGATAGTTGTATTAATATAATTTTATAGAGTAATAATTGTACAAATAATTAATAACTAAAGCTTACTTTTCAATACGTGGGGCAATAAGGCCAATTTCAAAAGCCTCTATATCAGTCGCACACTGCGCCACAATGAAAAATAAGTAGTTGAGAATGGTGATAAAAATCGAAAATGAACCAATCAATCTAAATACATACGACAAAAGAAGGTGCACTACGAGCCAATGCATCTTCAAGCATATCTCGAAGTCCAATCAAAAGTGATGGGTCAAATGTTCTCCATATTTGTTGGAGCAAAAAATTCAGCCTAAATAAAAAAGGATGATCAATTTCTCAGAATGTTAACTTTTGTTCAATTAAAAAATTATACAATATAATTACCATTCGACAGTTTCCCCATCATCTCTTAACAACTTTTTATTTTACATTAATATTAATATAAATTTATTACTACAATAATAAACAAAATTAACATAAATAATTTTGTAAGTTACCTTATCGATTGACATCTCTCTCTCAACCTCCCAACGTACTCGCTCTTTATTATCTTTAGCCATATTCATATACCATATTACAGATTGATATAAAACTATCAAGAGCCAAACAAAAGTGAACCCAAAATATCCTATGGCATAAGAAATAATTGATATAAAAAGTAATATTATATAGACTTGTGGTTCCTGCTGTTGTGACTGATTTGGTTCACTTTGGGTTACTTGACTTTGATTTTCTAACTTTTTTTTCGCAAGTTTTGCGGCGCAGTCACAAGTACGTATTTCAGGTTTGTCGTAGATACTACTCTCAAAAGCGTCTCGGAGGTCGGAATAAGAAACATAAGGAATAATTAATGTTCGGTCCGAATCAGCTGAATTACGATGTATTCTTTCTATTTCATAAGTTAGATTCTTATCATAATTAAATTCATCTGTTTTAATATTTTCATCTCGTAATGATTTATCTGACGACATTTTGACAAAAAAAAAATTATTTTTTTTTTTCTGATGAGGATGAGTAATTAAATATCTCATAGTAGTTGTACAAAGAAGTTTAAAATTATGCAAATATGCCGTGAGTTGTATCACAACCGAATAATAGAGAGTAATAAAAGTGAGAAAGAATGACTTTCTTTTCCTAGTCGGCCGACCACCTCCATTTAGTTAAATTCAAGAGAATCGTAATTATGCGCCAAATATGTGATATAATTATGAATATTTATTTATTGAAGTGTCCCAAAGTACAATTTGTACAGCCCCTGAAACAGATTATCTACAGCCTCTACAGTTATCTACGGTAACATTACTTTAAAAGAGAATTTTGAATAATATTAACTTTTTTTTTTTAAAGAGGAATTTTTAAATGTCAATTTATTGAATATAAAAATAGGATACAGAATGAAAATAACTCCCAATTAATGCAGTTTATCATTCGTCTTTGTTATTTTCGACAAGGAACATTATGTCCAAAAAGGACCACCAAATGAATAACAACTAACCCAAATTATTTGTGTAACAATTTTTTCAGCCGTAAATTTAAACTTGCATGGAATAGTCAAGGCTTAGATAACTGTTTTGCTAGTCAAATGACCCAATAAATATTCATTGTCTTCGTTATTATGCCATATAATATAGCGTGGAATCTTATGCGCGTTCTCTAAATCCATTATTTGGTTGATATTTAAAATGTTAGACCGAATGTATGATCTAAAATATATGTATGATCTAAAATAATAACAAATATATATCTCCTGCAATATTCAATAAAAAGTTAACATAAACTGAATAGCATTTAGCATTAAATAAAGTATGCTTATTATTATTTGATGATGTAGTGCTGCTATTAAACTATTATTGGGCTTGAATTAATATATTATCAATTTGACGGGACCGGACATGAATATCCATTATTATGTTGGTTCCCTAGTTGCATAGTATGCGACAATCAACCAAGATAGCGATTGTATGTCCAAAATTATGCATTTTTTCACGGTATTTTTGTGTGGATAACGACGTCACATCACATTCTTCATTTACAAATAGCAAATTGCATTCATTTTGATAATTTAAAATATGTTTTGGAGGCCAATCACAGCACATGTGATATTTTGTTAGTAAAGGTAAAAGGCTTTATAAGTGTAAGCCAACTTTTCAAAAAAAAAATGATATAATAAGTTTTCGTTATTAATTTTATTTTTATTCTTATATTCTTCACACAGCAAATAAGAAAGGTAAAGATACACCTAATAGGTAGGTTTTCTAAGAATAATATAATTGAATATAACAATAGGCAAATAAGATCCAGTCTACTGGTATTGGACATGCAGAATTTGGAAGTGAAATAATGACATTTTTATTTTAGTTTCAAAATTACAATATTCCATTTTTGGTTAATGAATATTCATTCCAAATTTGTATGTAACGTATGTAACGTGTTTTATTACACCCCAGGTCAAATACCCTAACCTATCATCTTGATCTTTGTTATCATCTCATAGGCCGCTAATTTCTAATGAAATACACACATTATTATTTTTTTTTTGTAAATAATGGACGCAAAATAACTTACTTAAATTTTTAGGCATAAGCTGGTAAATTTATCCAGTTTAATAACATTTTCTTAATATTTACAGATTTCCATAATAAACAAAGTAAATCATGTAATTAAATATCTTATGATGTTATATGTTAAGTGTTATTTTATTACAGTCAGAACTTAATATAAAGACTATGCGATATAATGAATTTCACGATAAAGCGATTTTTTAAGATTTTATCTTTATATAAGGTGACTTTAGATGGTTTTTCTGGATACTAAATGAGATAGTAGTTCAAGACAGTGATGTCAGAAAATTCAATGGATTTGGTGAGATAATGAGTATGATATGGTATGACTGTTGTATGTATGGTGATGTGTAAAAATTGTCCTATTTTTATACTAAATTTTATATCAATATAGCTGATAATTGACCATATATACATACAATAGAGGTCATATCATACTCATTATCGTTGCACCGTGACTCGTATCAATGCTAGATATAAATATATATACATACTAGTACTTCAAAAATCACGAAATATAAAACTTTTCTTTCTACACAAAAAATATGTTAAATCGCATTCTTCGTAATAAAGCACAATTATATTTAAAGCGTGACAATCACGCGTTATTAAGAAGATTTTATACGCTAAATTCTCAAAGAAATACCTCAAGTTTGGTCAAAGGTAATGAGAAAATTCCTAAATTCAGGTTAATGCACACTGATATATACAATGATATACACGAAAAGAGGTCAAGAAGATTTATGTTAATTAGTTGTTTACTGGGTAGTGGAGCTTTACTTTCAATTTTAAATTATATGATAAAAGAAGGTTTTGTAGAGGAAGAAACGGGAAAAACGGAAGAAGTAAAGAAAGAAACGAACGAAATTTTTGAAGATCAAGAAGATCAACGAAACATAGTAAAATTGATTGGTGATCGTGATAAGCCGGCTAAAAGTTATTATTTATTATTTGGACCCCGAGGTGTTGGTAAAACTGTATTAACTACTTTGGCAGCAACAAAATATGCTAAAAAAGGAGTGTTGCATATTGAATCATCCGATGAACATAGTTTTACCAAAAACCTCTCTCGAGAAATGAAGAAAATAAATTACTTAGATTATTTATGGATTACTTGCTTTCCTTATAATTATCCTTATCTTGACTGGGAAAAAGTATTTCATAAATTTGAAAAAAACGCAGAGAAGAAGAAAAGAAATGAAAATCACACCCCACTTCTTATTATTGATAATGTATCACATAGTTATTTTCATCATAATATGTTACAAACTATTGCGAAAGCTGCTACGGAACATGACAATTATAATGTAATGTTTGTTACGAATGACCAAAAGACGCTAGAATATTTATTGGGTAATTTTTTTCTTTAATTTGACTTTTTTAAATAATGAAATTTTTTTTTAATTATTTGTATTATATTCACAGATGGTGATACGGAATCTCGTATGGAAATTATCTACCTCGGAGACTTGAATAAAGACGTAGCATTATCCTATTTACGTAAACATAAAATTGATGCCGATACTGCTGAGAAGATATATGAAGTTGTCGGTGGTAGAATTATTGATCTATCACAAGCAATCAACCACTTTGAAAGAAATGATGAAGATAAAAATTCTTTAAATGGTATTTATTGACATTATTATTAAATATATACACTAAATATTGAAATTATTATTTTCTTTCTTATAGATTATCTTAATATGAAAACTAATTCGATTTTTAAGAAATTGGATAATCATCGTTATAATAAGAGCCATCTCGAGTTCCTGCGAAATCACGCTCATCAGACATTTAGTCGATCTGAATCTATTAGGAATGGACTTCTTGGTTATGAACTTGATGAACTAGAAAGCAAAAATATATTAACAGTTGCTAAAAACTTAAAATTTACATTTGGATCACCAGCTACAAAATATGTTTTTGATAATTTATTACAACAATGAAAAGGTATGAACGACTTGTTTATATATTATTTATTTATTATTATATTATTAATTAGAATTGTATCATTTTTTGTCATTTTAAGGATCAAACCAAAAAGGATGTTTTAATTAAATAAATAAATTTACTATTACAGATAATGAATTCAAAATTTAAATGATTTAAATTTTAAAATGTTTAAAATGATAAAAGATAATTATATCGATAAAACGAATATATATATTAAAGCATTCTGAGGAATAAACAAATTTCATATGAAATTATTCAGACATGTTTGATTGTTGAAATTTTCATTATTTTGGGTTAATTATTCGTGAACCAAACCTAATTAATTAAGCATATACTGTATTGCTTGAATAAATGTGATTTTAAAAAAAAAATTTCCTATTTTAATTGGTTCTCTGTGTTACAAAAATGCCAGTGAAAAAAAAATAAGCATAAAAAATGTATAAAAAATTTTTTTTAAACGGTCGGTTGGTCAACTGTTTGGTCAATTTTTTTTTTTTTGTTTATTTTCCTTAAAAATTATTCGTATTACTTATATAATATCGATAAATTCCACTTTTTTTTTTAAAAAAAAAAAAGATTTCAAAAGCAACTTCTTTTCTTCTTGGAATCTTGAATAATAGATTTATATTTATTTTTACTTATTACGGGTTCTTGAAATTTGGTATATTTTGAATTCAAAATAATAGTAGACCTTAGCAAAAAGCTTTTAATCATATAAACGTGTCCTGCTCACAAAAGAATACATATTGACAGATCTGTCGAATCTTTAAAGATTTTCCATCCAACATAAAGTCTTTAGGGATCCCAAGACAATTATAAATAAGAACTATTGTTCGCGTAAAACTTTTAGCATTATAAGATTTGTTAACCTATTTTTATTCGGCTTTTTATAAATACATAACATTATAAACGTCAAAATTCAAACAGAAACAACTTAACAATGCGAAAAACACCAACTGGATCTCGTGGGCCACCAAAAAATGACAATACTCTTACCAAACCTAAACCTAAAGGATCGTCACAATTAGCTGGATCATCATCATCATCCAATACTTTATCACCAAAAAAACCATCACGAACTTCAAGATCACCATCGCCTTCATCTACAACACCAAGATCTGCGACATCATCTGTTAGAGATGTTATTGCTCAAGCAAGATTAAAGAAAGCAAATAATAAAGCCGTTCAACAGGAAGAGCAAAACGATGGAGGATCGAGGAGCCTGAATGTTATTGTTAAACAAGCCAAATCTTCTGGTATGTTAAATATTTTTTTTTTTAATGTTTTAATTAAAGTTTCAATTTTTTAACTGAATTTATCTCGTCAAATTTAGGACGTCTCAATATATCTCATCGTTCATTAAAAGAGATCCCAGAAGAAGTATGGAGAATGTATGAAATTGATCCAAAAAGTATTACTGTTGATTTCACTGGGAGTTCCTCAGAAGTTTGGTACGAGCAAGTAGATCTGGTTCGTTTAGTTGCCGCTGATAATATCCTCGAAAAGATTGATAAAAGGATAATTGAGTTTGGTGCATTGACTTTAATAGATGTAAGTTATGATAAAGTTTTTATAAATATTATTAATATTATGAATTTATTTCATAATATTAATCGTTTATTTTCAAATTTTATCTAGCTTCATAATAATAATTTATCAGATCTTCCTGAAGAATTTGGTCAATTACAAAAATTAGGAATACTTAATTTATCACATAATAAATTTAGCAAACTTCCAGATTGCTTAACATCTCTTAAATCCTTAGTGGAATTACAGATATCATCAAACAATCTTTCAGGTGTATTAGACCCAACTTTTGGTAACTTATCTAAATTGGAAACTCTAGATATTTCACAAAATGGAATTACTGGTTTACCATTGGAAATTTCAAATTTAAAAAATTTAAGAAAACTTAATCTTTCAAAAAATAAATTAAAAGAAATTCCTGGTGCAGCTTTAAATGGAATGACATATTTAGAAGAATTAGAAATTGGCGAAAATCAGCTTGAAATAGTTTTTAAAGATTTGGATGGTCAAACTGTTAATCTATCATCTTTGACAAGGTGATATTTTCATTTACTCATTTTTTTTTTTCATTTTTCTTCGAAAATTTTTATTTATCTTATTTATTAATTAATTTTTTTTAATACGATTATGAAAATAGATTGAATGTTCGTCAAAACAAATTAAGAGCTTTAGATGAATCACAAGATTCAACAATTTTTCATCCATCAGTCAAATTTCCAAAACTTAAAGAATTACTTGTTTCACTAAACAGAATTGAATCTTTTGGTCCTTTATTACATACAACACCAAATCTTGAAATTTTAGATATGGGAGATAACAAATTTTCAGAAATTCCTGAAGGATTGGTTGCATTAAAACATCTTAAAAGATTGGATTTAGGTAATAATTCACTAAAACTTTTACCCGCTGAATTGGGTTTATTATCTTTAGATGTTTTGGTATGGGAAGGGAATCCTCTTAAAAATGTCTCCAAAGGACTCAAGTCTACGGCTGCATTATTGAAATCATTAAAGGATAAAGTTACTACAGTTGGTAAGTTTGTAATATTGAAAAAAAAATATATTTGTATGTATGTTTTTAACTGAATTTATTTGTTTTATTTAGACCTTAATAATATGGAAGGTCCTACAATTCCTGAATCAGGTCAACATCCTGGACGATTAGGAAAAACTTCAGGAGCTTTAGGAAATATTAGTCAACAAGGAGTAGCATCTAAATCTTTAGATCTTTCAAAGAAAAGTTTATCTGATATATCTCAAGAGGATTTGGTTGAACTTACATTTGAACCCACAACAGTTTCATTGTCATTTAATACATTCCAAGCAATTCCGGTTGGATTTAAAATATATCAAAATACAATTACAACTCTTCAATTGGATCATAACAAATTTACTTCTTTCCCATCATTCGATGATCCTTCCATAGTTTTTTCAAATATTAATACATTGGATTTATCAGCGAATCAACTTACTTCTTTACCTGGCGAATCTGATCATACAGCATTTCCAAATTTACAAGTTCTTAATGTTAATAACAACCGTATAGCTGAATTACCAACAAAATTACCTTTTCCCAAACTTCTAACATTTCTCGCTGCCTCTAATAGTTTAACTTCAATTACTCCTTCAACTTTTGAAAATATGGAAGTTGTTGATCTATCAAATAACAATATTGGACATTTACCTCCAACGTTAGGGAATGTTAGAAGTATTAAAACTTTATTGGTAGAAGGGAATTCTTTTAGAGTGCCAAGATATACCATTGTTCAACAAGGCACTTCTGCTGTAATGGAATATTTACGTGATAGAATTCCCAAATAAATATAGAACAAATGAGATAATATATACAATATTATGTTGAGTAAATAGATTTTTTTATTATGATGTGTACAATAACTTAACTATAGATAGACCCTTGTAATGATGCTATTATTCATTGTACACTTTATCACTTTATTATTTATATTAATCTTCACTTATTTTTATTTTTATTTAACATTAAATATATAAATTAAACAAATAAAAATAATAACATTTGGAGTTAATTGGATTAAAGAACGTAAATCAATAAGATATAAAAAAGTTTTTTTTTATTAAGGTTTAAAGAATAATTAAAAACATATTATAAAATAATCGTTTAACGATAACGACGAAGAGAAAGTGTGTTTCGCCTGAGCCAACTGGCATAACGACCACCACCTTTTGTCTTGTTGAAACGATGACCTTTTCCAATACCACGATTTTTCTTGCCAATACTAGTAAGACCGCGAGCTTCACGGTGTTTATGTTTAACAGAAGCAATCCAATTAATTCTAGGATCACGACGAATAGCTTTATGTTGAGGATCAACAAGAATAACTTCATAATATTTATAAGTAGAATCCTAAATATATATACAAGTATTGTAATTAGAATATGTTCATTAAATTTAAATAAAGTATTAATTTGATATTAAATTACTTGATTAATCCAATATGAATTCAAAACACGTAAATTGCTACATCTACGACCAATACGTTCTTCAGCTGTCGCTTTAAGAGAACGTTGATATTTAAGTTGATTCACACCCTGATTGACTGGTTTACCATAAGTAGCACCTTTTGGTACTGGTCTCTTACGACCACCACGACGAACACGAATTCTGTAAACAACGTATCCTTGTTTTGCCTATATATATAGAATATATAATCAATATCTTGTAAAGAATTTGATAATAAATATAATAATTAAATTTTTTTTTTAACCCACCTTATAACCTAATCTACGAGCCTTATCAGGTCGAGATGGACGAGAAGCTCGATGAACAACATTCAATTGCCTAAAATTTATTTATTTTTTTTTTGGTTTTCCGATGTGTATATATATGTGTGTACATATATGTATATGTATATATATATATATATATATTTGATTTTGTGATGGGTATTGTAATAGTGATAAAAAGAAAAAAGAAAAAAAAAAGACCATACCGTATGTGGGATATATTTTAATAATTTATTATTATAATTTGGTTCATTGGCAAATGAAATATTTTTTAAAATGTTCCATAATTTTGTTTATCCCAAAACAAAACTTTTTTTTTAAAACATGGAAAAACATTTTTATTTCATTGCCTAAATTTTTCCTTGATAATTGAGAAAAAGATAAAATAAGAGGGAAATGGAAGGGTAGACTACCTGTACTCCCAACATCTTACACGAAGTAAGAAACGAAGGACATCAGACTGCTTCTTCTTGTAAAGTTCTTCAAGATATTTATAGGCTATTTAAAAAAAAAATATATTTTTTTTTTTTGGTTAAGAAATCAATATAATGCAATGTATACATATTATTAAATCAAAAAGAAAATATATATATATATGTATATAATCTTTTTTTTAATACGTACCACCCATGTTGTCCTAAGCTCTTGAACTATAAAAAAAAAATTCGTTCAAGTACAAAATTATTATTATATTTGAATTTAATTTTAAAAAAAAAAAAAAAATTATGAATATACACCTATTCAGTAATTGTACAAAGATGAACTATAGTTTGTTAAAATTCTCTTACTGAGACGCATTAAATGGTAGTAANAAAAAAAAAAAAAAAGTTAAAATTCTTTATAATCAAATTAATTTCTATTCAAGAATTTTTTGTTTCTTAAAAAAAAAAAACAATAATATATATGATAAATATTAAGAATTAAATATTTACCTTTAATTAAGACGAAGCGATGGATAGAGAAGGAAGATTTCAATTTTCGTGTTTTTTTGATTATAAAAAAAAAAAAATTTTTCAAATAATCAACCAATTAAATTCCAGATCATAATCCAGGCCGAGATTAAAATTCAATGGGCCAATTTTTTTTGATTACCAGGATTAACCAAGGGATTAAAATGTAAAATTTATTGTAAAATTTGAGAACTTGCGGAATGATCAGTCTTTTTTTTATAATACAATTTTTTAATTATAATAGGTCATGGCAATATTTGTTATATTTAATTATGACAATTGGCAAAATTTAAAATTTTTTTTGTATCGGTATCAGTATTAGCAGTATTAGGTTGTTTAGGTGGTTTAACTCATTATGTATAAAGTTCACCATAAAAATAAAAATTTCATTTATTTTGTATGATTCATAAATATAAAAAATTGTCCATTTGAAAATAAATAAATAATGAATAATTTACAGATAAAAAAAAAAAGAAAATATGATAAATATAAAATATAACATTACTAAAATGTTTTTAATATAAATTAAACCATCTTTTTCAAAACCATCATCTCAGGATACAACTTATAACAACATTTCAAATTTAATATAATAAATATAAAAAACTATTATACAAGAAATTTAAATTAAGAGTACTAACTATATATATATATATAATTTAGATACGATCAGAGGAGGAAAATTCTCGATCGGTAGATTCAGTAGGCCAAAGCCTAATATCAGATGTTAAAGGATAATAAGCGGTAAGAGCTTTAGTTAAAAATTGTTCCTTGGTAGAACCCAAAGTAGATTTTTTCATAGCATAATTAACAATATCTAAAATTTGATCACCAGTTAAAACATGCTTTGTATCTAAATAAGAAATTATATGTTCTTGTATTTCAAAAGGCAATTTGGTAAATATTTTCTTTTTTGATTTTTTTGATTGTTTTATAGATTGCCTTTTAGGAGAAGGAGGAGGAGAAATCAATGGGGAGGTTAAAGGAGCCAAGAAAGGAGTATTCATTAAAGGCGACATCATAGGAGACATCATAGGAGACGTTATAGGGGAAATTAAGGGAGAAGTTGAACAAGAAGAAATTGGTAATTGTTGTTGTAAAATAGGATTTAATAAAATTCTTGATGCTTTAAGAATATTACAAGCAGTATTGTATTTTTCTTTTTGTAAGAGATGATTACGAGTAAGAGATTTTTGTATGGAATTACTGATGGATTCCCATTCAGCAAAATTATAATCCAATTGTACGCCTTTTAAAGAAGTATTAAATTCTAAAGCATTAGCTAACATTAAATGACCATCAACACCCATATTAGAATTCTTATTAAGAGAAATATTTTGTAAACCAATATTTAATCTTAAAGATTCAGCTATAGCTTCTATACCATCCAAACCTATACTACATTGAGAAAGAATGATGGATTCCAAGGAAGTATTTTTATGAAAACCTTTAAATATCTCTTTACAACCTTCATTACCAATAGTATTTTGAGATAGATTAATAGCTCTTGGTATATTATGATTTTCTAATAATTCACCCAATGCTTTAGAACCTTCAATATTTTCATTTGTTCCAATACTATTAAATTCGAGATCGATATAAATTAAAACAGAATTTTTTAGTAATGAATTAGAAATATATTTTAACCCATCATCTTCAATATTGTTTCTTGGTATATAAAGATGAGTTAAAGTTTGATTAATTTCTAAAGAATCAGCCAAATATTTAGCACCTTCAGCTGACATATTATTTATATCAAGACTTAAACTAGTTAAAGAAACATTAGTTTTAAGAGAATCAGAAATATCACGAACTCCTTCTCTTTGTAAATTATTACTACCCAAATGAATATATTTTAAATTATTATTAACTTTCAACATATCAGCAATATGTTTACCTCCTATAGCATTTAATTGATTTGATTCTAAACTTAACCTTTCAACGGAATTATTTATCATTAAAGCCTTTGAAATACTTTTTGCACCATCAGAACCTATACGATTAAAAGCCAAATAAACTTGTTTTATATTATTATTTTTTTTCAATAATTTTCCCAAATATTTTGCTTCATTATCAGTTAAATGATTACAAGATAAATCCAATATTTCAACGGTAGTATTTTTTTGTAAAGAATCCAAAATAACTTTAACAGAAGAACCGAATAAATGATTTCTCCCTAATCTTAAATTACGTACATTCGTAATTTTATCAGCCTTTAATAATCTTGATAATATTTTACATTCATTATAAGATAAGTTTAAATCTAAATATGATAAAGTTTCAAAAACTGGAGTAGCAACACCATCATAACTTTTAATTAAATCATCAACATCTTTTTCAGTTATTTTATGTAATGTTCCTTTTATTATATGATTTTGTATTTGAGTTAATCTTAAATATGATGATACCAATTGATGTCCTTCATTCGTTAAATATTTATCCATCGGTATTGTAGTAATACTTTGAAGTCTGTTCGCCCAACTTCCTTTTCGTTTCTTGTGAAAAGTTTCTTGTAACGAAAGAGTTCGTGGTAAACCCAATGAGGATACACCCATCGACGAAGACCTTTTCTTGAACATTTTTAATTATTATTATTAGAAGAAAAAAAGTAGTAGTAGAATGGTAGTAAGAAATAGTAGCGTATTATTTTCTCGTTTTTTTTACGCGTTTATTTTTTTATTTCAGACTCAAAAATTATGAAAAGGTTTAATAAGTGGTTTTTTTTCTTTATAAATTATTTTTTTTTTTTAAAGCTCGAAAAAAAAAATATTTTTTTTTTTTTTTTTTTTTCGAAAAAAAAAAAAGGTATTTTGTTGAGGAATGAATAAAAAATCCATACAAATTTTATACAAATTTAAATTTTTTTTATTATTATATTTTATTTTATTTATATCCTAAAAAAGGCAAATTAAAGGGACAATAAATAAAATAAAATTTTAGTTTATAAACTATTATGCACGTGCGTGGCTCATCCCGTATCCTATAAATAATAAAATAATAAATAGTGGACGGTGGACGTAAGTATTTTTACAAAGAAAATCATGTGAAAAAAAACAAAAAGTTTGTTCTGTTTTTCCGTTATTAAAAATAAAAACAAAAATCTTTTACTATTTTATTTTCTTCGACATTTTCTTTTCTATCTTTGAAAAAAAAAATCGGAGGGAAAAAATATATTTTGTCACATGTAACAATTAATGAACCGGGTAATTGTCCGTTCATTATCAAAAAATTTTAAAATTTTTATTTGATCCGACAGGTGACTTATTAATATTATGGTTAGAATTAAAATTGAAATATATTAACAACAATAATAATGCACCACAACCATCATATATTCATCTCTCATTTTACATGACATCATGTAAAATGTCGTACGGGACGTATCCGCTTTGGTGAAATTCATTCGAATCCCTTGTGTTTAATTAATTACTTTTTTGCTAATGTCGTATGTTATTTTTTTTTTATTTGGGGAATTGGGGGGGAATAATATCTATAAATGATTTTTTTTATGTTTACCGGGTATTTTTTCATTCTAATAAATGACTTTTTTTAATATGGAATAACCGTATTATTAATCATCATCATACTATCAGCTATAACTTTAACTTTAATTATTTCAACTTTCGGAGTTATGAAATTTGAAATCTTTTGATTCGTCAATTTAAAAAGAAGGTTTTTTTTTTATTGTTTTTATTGTTTACTTTTACTTATTTTTTCATTCCCACAGATCATGTAATTTGACGTATCTAAAATAATTAATAAATTTTGTATCACATTGTTAATTTTTGAACGGATTAGCAGGATCGAAGGAGAAAACTAAAGAACATTCTAAATTTAGAAATTCTAGAATTTTTTAAAGTAGTTAGAACAATTAAAAAACTCTTTTAATTTTTATAGAATTCTCAAAAGAATATTAGAACAATGATTTGATCGAAACCACTTGTTTTGTTTGATCAGGGTATCCAATCCTTTCACATAAAATTGTCACACGATAAAAACAATTTTTTTTTTTTTTTTTTTTTT